CCCGCCCTGCTCCTGGAGAACCCCGCGTTCAGATTCCCTCCAGAGCTCCCCTCTGTCAAGGTGCTCACCCCTGCCCTGCGGAGGGTGCCGCAGGGAGACAGGTGCGCCCAGGCCTTCCCAGCCTTGGCGCGGCCCCGGGGAGCCAGGGCGCCTCTCCGCTCACCCTGGCTGGCATTGCTGGCACTGGTGGCCGGCAAGCTGGCCAGTGTACGCCTCTGCGTCCCTCTCCGCTTTGACATGCAAAAACCATCTTTTTCAGTTTGGGGAAGATGATAACAGCTAAGCCAGGGAAAACACCGATTCAGGTATTACACGAGTACGGCATGAAGACCAAGAACATCCCGGTTTATGAGTGTGAGAGATCTGATGTGCAAATCCATGTGCCCACTTTCACCTTCAGAGTAACCGTTGGTGACATAACCTGCACAGGTCTGTATGCACGCTTAAACCCCCGTGACCCTGCGGGCTGGCGGTCCGACGTGGTGTTGATTTTCAATTCGGAAAAGTACCTCTTTTGCCAGCTAGGAGAAGCGGCTCTGAAACCCAAACCTCTCGTATTTATGTATGTCATTGGGGCTTCGCAACTTCATCCAGTTCCCTGCCTCATTATCTCTTCCCCTGATGCATGGAGGCTCAGAAACCGAAAAAGTTATCCAGTAGTCCTGTAAGGCTTCTCATACGCTTGGATCCTCCTTTCCTCCTAGGAACAGGAAAGGTTGAGTCAGCAGGTGCTGTCATGGTTTATTCATAGATTATAGCAAATACCGGGAGGAATGGTACCAGACTTTTCTGAGTTTCTTCCCTTCCTTTATGGATACGTTTGGAACTTTGGGTCCGTTGTTCCACGATTTTGTGGCCGTGAAAATGGCAAAAGGCATACTGTATGGTACCTTTTTGGTCTTGACACTCTACAGGTATTTTGTATAAGATAGTTTTTTTGTTTTCCTTCCAAAGCTGGGCATGGGGGCCCATGCTTGTAATCCCAGCAGCACTGGGCAGGCTGAGGCAGGAGAATGATGAATTCAAGGCCATCCTGAACTACATATCAAGTCCCTGATCAGCCCTGGACTGTAGAGTGAATGTTCCTTCTCCCATTCATACTTCTTTTCCTCTTCTTAAAATCCACTTAGTGGTTTTCCCATCACCCTGTGGACACATGCCAAATTTTGAATATGGTTTACAATCTTGCTTCTTTTTTTTTTTTTTTTTTTGGTACTGGGAATCAAACTCAGGACATGGCACTTGCCAGGCAGGTGCTTGTACCACTGAGCCATATCCCCAGTCCAGTCTTGCTTCTTAAAATGTACTCAGTGATAGCAGTGATAACCACTTGGGCGCTCAATCAAGATGCAGACTATCAGGCCCCTCTCAGATCTGTGGGATTCGAGTATGTTTTAAGAAGATGCCCTGACAATTCCTATGTGCACTAAGGTTTGAAAAGCACAGATTTATAATACCCTTCTTTGGCCTCTTCTCCTAACACCCAGCTTTCCAGTCTTTTACTGAAACTTCCCTCAAACTCTTAAGATTTAGCCATACTCAGTCAGTCCTGGGGTCCTTGAAAACACTAATCTTTGTGGCCTTTGAGCCTTTGCTGGTGCTTTTTCTCTACCTAGAATTCTGTTGCTAATCCTCGGCTCTCTCCACTTTACTAGCTTTTACTCATCTTTCAAGAGTCCATTTAGTTATCTCTTCCTTCATAAACCGTTTTTGAATCTGTACCAGGAGCTGGAGAGCTGCTGCTTTTGGGCAGATGCCATAAGCTTGTTGTAACATGTACCCCTCCGTACTTGAAGTGCTTCGTCCAGACAAAATCCCACACTAGGCTGTCAGCGCCTGAGGGGAAGGACTGTGTTTAGTTCTGTACTATCTCCTTCATATCTGTGTTAGAGTGTGGCTTGTGTGTCCGCTGATGATTGAGGGTCACATTTGACTTACTCTATGAGTTTAAGCGTTTGAACCCAGTAGGAAAAAGGATTAAATTTACAGCTTATCAGATGTGACTGTTTACTGAAATTTAGACCAAATTTACTGAAATTTAGTCCTTACCCCAACCTCCTCTTACCTAGCCAGGTGAGGGATATGGATTGTATGGAAAACACGTAAGCTATTGCCTTCCATATATGAACTCTCCCACTATACTCAACATGTAGTCATAACTGCTTACCTAGCATAGGGTTTGATCCAGAGTAGAACCCAGCTGTCAGAATAAACTTGTGCAAAATTTGCTGTCCAGCAGTTCTGCCATAAGTGGCTTCTTTAAAGGAAATGTCTTGCCGTGGAAGAGTTTTTCTTTCTTGTCCCAGAAGAAGGGAAGAATAAAATGCTAAGGTACACTTCTTCAGGAGATGTGGCAGGGCTACTTTATTACCACTTTACATCATAAACATACACAGTATAATGTACAAATACTGTAGAAGGGATTTTTATTCAGACAGAACTTTTAAAACTGTTGTTTTGTTCATGTATTAGCACCCCAGGATGGATGTTTAATTACAGTGTACTGTATAACTGCGGGTAGTGTTTCTTTTTATTACTATACATATATAGAAAACCTTTAGCGACTTTATTTTATATTACAACATCTGTGCCACATAGTTTCACAGAAGGTAAGGACTTTCTTTTCACATCTTAACGTAGGTGAAGGAACAAGTAAGAAGCTGGCGAAACACAGAGCTGCAGAGGCTGCCATAAACATTTTGAAAGCCAATGCAAGTATTTGGTGAGCTAAATTTCTTTGTATTCTGCAGCCCAAAATTATCATGGCTGAGGTAAGATTAAAAATTAAAACAGAGCAAACAGTTGTTAGTATCTTAACTCTGAAATTCTTTTTCTGTATGAAAATCTGTCATCCAATAAAGACAGTTTTATCTGTTTAAATTCATCAAATAGCTCTTACATGCAGACAATCATGAACTGGGTCCTTTTCTCTGTCTAATGGGGTATAGTGTGGAGAAAACTAGAGTGTTTCTGGCAAATGTTAATATTCTGTATTAGACCAGTTATTTCTACAATGAAGGAAACAAGGCATGAGATGGAAAGAGATGAGCTAAAAATACTTTTAGGAATTCTTATTTGAAAGAATGAGGCAGAGTTTTTTTTATTATAGAATGTATACCAAACAGAATGCTGGTATAACAGACCCTCTGATGTAACTCATAGCTAACAGCAGAGAACCATGGAATTTAGGATACGAATTTTGCTCTTCAGCCATAGCAACACTTTTGGATTCAGACTATATTTATATTCTCATTCAGTGTTCTTCTCTTTTTTAAGTCATGCTAAGCCTTTGGGGTAGTTTAGAACTAACTAGTGACATAGCAACCGTCTAGATAAGTACTTGTTTCCCACAAGCCTTGGACCTCACAGGTGGTTCTTGTTCTCTGAGGTCATGAATTTGAATTGACTTTTGCTAGTTTTTAGGGTGTTAAATGGCATGGCAGGCTTTGCGTTATAACTGTCTGGTGAAGGCCATGCCATTTCTGTGAGGCCCAAAGGTCAGCCCAAGTACTGAGTACATTTGTGGAAATGAGTGTGTAGAGTGTCCTTGCTTCACAAAGACACATCACTTTTTCATTAAAAAAAGGCTCACAAACTTTACTATATATTTGTGCTTCTTGACGGATAAGATGGGAATTACTAAGCTATAATCAGGCCTAAAGTAGCCTGATTTAATTCGGAGGCTTTCCCACTTCTCCATCACAATTATTCGGGAAGTTTCAGCATGGAGCATGGTAAGCAAACACATCTCATCGGCCTTGAATGCTAGTCATTTGAAGAGAAACTAATGGAAATGGAATTAGCTAAAACTCCTTGTCATGGAAGAGCTGTCTCTTCACTTTCCTATGTAGTAGTAACCTTTGCTGCCTAGTCTGTGTTTGGCATTGCTCTCCCAAATGATTAGTAATTTCACACTACCTAAAAGAGTTTGTTCTCTTTCCCTGGTGATAATCCCCACATGCTGAAACCAGATTCGTATAGGCAATCTACTTCATGCAGCATTCATACAAATCCTACGGGGTGATCCTAGCACTGAGCAGATGACAGAACAAATAAATCTGCCTTCCATAGTTAGCAGGATGAAAAAAGCATGTATGATCTGTGTTGTCGACATTGACAGGCTAAATTTCCTGGCTAGTAGTCTTCCTTTTTTGTGTAGGTGTAATAATAGTGTGCTTTAAGTATATTTTTATTAAATACCTGTTATATACAGTACACAACAAAGCTAATGTCGGTAAGTAATACAGAGCTGCCATAATACTACTGCCATCGAGTTTAATGAGCACAAGTAGTTAGGGAAGGGATGGAGAAATTACATATATTTGTAAGAGTGTGTAATTTAGGGTTAGTTTCTGTAAAGAGTGAAACAAAATGTTATAATGGTTCGGTGGAATAAAAGGGGAGACTCCTCAGAGGAAGTGACTTTTGAAATATACTTTAGATGACAGATAAATCAGATTCCCATAGAAGTAGTTGGAAAGAAGGGCGTTACTTGTACGAAGAATGGCAAGAGTTTAGTATAAATGATAAAGTAGAAAATGTTTGTCACTTTTATAGTAATTTGGGACAATTATTTTATTTAATAACATTTCAAAAAAATGTTTAGCTTTGCAGTTCCTGACCCTTTAATGCCTGACCCTTCCAAGCAACCAAAGAACCAGCTTAATCCTATTGGTTCATTACAGGTAAGTTGTATAGCTTTTCCATAGTTAGCATTTTTGTCTGTTGTTAAAGAGAAATAAATCAAAAATAATACAGCAACTCAGATAAGCCATTAATATTTTAAAGATAAGGTCAAATACTCTGTTCTCCAAGTTAGGGTCATTAGAACTTTCAGAACTAGCTTATTTTCTGTTTATTTATCTTTTGGATTCTCTTCCATATACAGTATCTGCCTTTAGTTTGTGGAATTCCCATTTGAAATCAACAGGACCTCAGTACGCATGGGTAGTGCGTTATACCTTAAGGGAGATTCTTGCCACTTGTATGACAAGCCTTTTTCTACTTTTGTTGAAACGGAAGACTTTATAAAGAGCCAAAATCGGGTGACCTAACTCAAAGAGAAGAAAAGTAGTCTATTTCTACCAGAAGAAAAACCATACACACATATACAGACGTGTATCCACGCATATATGTATTCAGTTTTTAATTCCTGCATGCAGCATATCCTCCTTGTGGATTATCCGTGTGCTTTGTTGGAGCACTCTTCTCCCCATTATCCAGCAAATCCTTTAGTCTCTTTTCTTGCTCTGTGAGCTTCTCTATAGTTTTCTTCACCTGCTATGTGTAACCCCACCCAGGTCTATTTGTTTGCTGTCTCTGCTTCCCACCTAGAACTGAGCGCATTGTCTCCTCCGGTGCACCCAAGAGGCTGGTGATGACCTGTCTTTCTCACAGAACTCAGATACCAGCTCATTCCGGCTTAATGGAAGTGTCATTCATAACACAGAACTGCTTCAGTTTTCGCATTGTGATATAAAGATATAAAATAATGAGGATATCTATGGGAAATACAGAATCCATTCTCATTTTTCTATTGCAGAATATTATCAATCTCAAACAAACGACTAAAAATGGAATCAAAGTCAAGAAAGAATGTCATTTATGTGATTGAGCCGTTACATTGTTAAAGTCACTATTAAAGCATCATCTCAATTTTGTAGGAACTGGCTATTCATCATGGCTGGAGACTTCCTGAATATACCCTTTCCCAGGAGGGAGGACCTGCTCATAAGAGAGAATATACCACAATTTGCAGGCTAGAGTCATTTATGGAAACTGGTACTTACTTCTTACAATTAAAAACATTTGCATTATTTTCAGATGACAAATGACCATAGAAATGAGTTTTGTAATATCTTTTCAGACAAGATCAGGTGCATTCAGGGTGGTATGGCTTCAGACTGTGATACCTTTTCAAACATCGCTGTAGGGAAATTGATACACTCCCTTTCTACTGACTCTAACTTTGTAAGGTTGAACTTAAGTATAAATACTTGACTTAATAATATTACATTTTTTAACTTTATGCTTTTAAAAATTATAGATTGTTGATAAAAAGTCAAATTATGGTTATGTACCTTAAACAATCTGTTATGTTAGTGACTTTTAAAATGCAACTCATTTGGAGAAAAGGCAATAGTAAATCTATTGGAGTTTCAACAGATCTAGTAAACAGGAGTTGAGCAGGACTCCATTTGAAAATGAAGTGATTAATAAGAGATTATATGGCAAAAAAATTACCATGAGAATAAAGTTGAAATTGTCTTTGAACTATAGTTCCATGTTGTAAAATACAAACTACGAGGAAAAGAGGTCACTTTAAAGAAGTACTAAAGAGAATTCCTGTGTTAACTTCTCTGGCATGTTTTTTGTCATTTTTAACATCCCTTAAAATGGGATTTTACTTTAGTGAGGTATTACTTTTGAGTACTAGGCAACTCTTTTCCCTAGGGAGGTTGTGTGAGCTAGGACAGGAACTCCAGAGCCCCCAGCAGGTCCTTGATTTCAGAGGTTAAGCAAGTTCCTTAGTCTCCCTGGGCCTCAGTTTTTAAATCTACAAAGCAAAAGTACAGAAGTAGATATGTATGCTGTGTATATATATGAAATACAATAAACAAAAATGTCAAGTTGGTAAAGATAAAGACTAGAAAGTAAAAGGCAAGACGTTTTCACACAATGCCTTGCACATTTGATCACCTCTGTAGACGCTAATTTTTTAAATCTACCATTTCTTTTTCTTTGTATAGGAAAGGGGGCATCCAAAAAACAAGCCAAGAGAAATGCTGCTGAGAAATTTCTTGCCAAATTTAGTAATATTTCTCCAGAGAACCATATTTCTCTAGTGAGTAATGATCAGACAGTATGATGTTAATGTGATGCTGTAGGAAACTTTCCTTGATTTCTTGTTGTGTACCTACTTATGAGTTGCAGTTTTTAAAAATCTCTTCGTTGTTAATTTATACACTGTCCCAGTTTTCGCTGCTTCCGAAATGTGAGCCAGAGTCATAGGGGTGATCAAGTAAGAGGGCTTGGGAAACATCGTAAATTCAGAAAATAGACTGAGATCTAAAAATGATAGTTCAGGTGAGGGGCCGCTCAGCGGTAGAGTACGTACTTAGCATGTGTGAGGTCCTGGGTTCAATTCCCAGCACCTGAACAAGTAAATTAAAACAGTAGGCCATGAATGCCATTTTTATCTTCAAAGCACTGCACATTTCCTTTTTTTTTCTTTTTCATCCGTTCATTACCCACCCTGGTCATGTGGTGAGCTCATACTTCGAACCAAGGTTTGTGCCAGGTGCTGAGACACAGTGAGCAAGCAGCCTGATCTGCTGAGGAGTGTGTAGCCTCCTAGGACAGGAAAAGGTTCTCCAGACTGCTCCACCCAGAGGGCACTGTGGAAACATAAGAGAGGACATCTCAACAACACCTGGGCCTTCAAAACTGTGTCCGCGAAGGTGTCAGCTGAAACCTCTAGGGTGGGGATGGGGAACAAGAGCCCCTGGATTGAAGCAGCGTGTGTAGTCAGGACCCAAAGTGATTTGGTATGTCCAGAGCAGGGTCGGAGGGAGGGGTCTCAGACACTGGGGCCAGAAAGAGGGATCCCGTTATAACCGGACTGCTGTGGTGAGGAGATTGTACTTTATCTTGGGGGTAGTACAGTGTCATTAAAGAACTTTAATCTGGAACAAACAGGACCTAATTTGTATGTTGGAGAGGAAACGACTTGGCTGGATTAGGAGGGAGTAAATCAGTGTTAGGATCTGAGAGACCTGCTAGAATGCCCTGAGAGCAAGCAGATGAGAAACAGTGACCTAAACTACGTACAGAAGAGAGGAAGAAGAGGACTGGGTAGATTTAAAAATCATTTAGAAGCCAATCATCATGGTGCACACCTGTAATCCCAGCACTTGGGAGGCTGAAGCAGGAGGACTGCCCCAAGTTCAAGGCCAGCTTGGGCTACATAGACCCTATATAAAAAAAAAAAAATCATTTCGAAAACTGGAGTAAAGGGACATGGTAATTGATTGGATATGGGGAGAAAAAAGGGGGAGATAAATATTTTTACATTGGCAACTAAGGGTGGCAGCCTTCAGTAATGTAGACACAGAAGGCGGGCGAGGGGAACTGAGGGGGCCAGGGATACTGAGATGGACATGTGTGATGTATGTAAGAGAGCAGTTGGGGCTACACATGATATGAAGTGAGGCTCCAGTATTCATAGGTTTTTCACATTACCTGCAAAAAGTGACACAGTGTGTGGGAAATGAGGTCTGTCCATGGCTGTGTCTCCCCTGAACTTATAACAAAGTCATGGCTCACTTTAAAAAAAAAAAAAAAAAAAAGACGATTTACAAAGAAATACTGTAACTTTGAATTTTTTAAAAGACAAAAATATAATACATGACATGTACTTTTCAAAAACAATTGGACCGAAAGAACACCAGAATCACAAAGCACAAGAACATGGAACAGTTGGTCTCTGTCAGATCTTAGGACAAGATAATTTCCAGTGCTGTTGAAACTCTCCCAGGCCACATTTATTTGTTTTTTTAAGGGAAGCTTCTAAATTTGTTCTTCCAAACCAGTGTAACACCCTGGAACCTGACCAAACCACAACAGAAAAAAATTGAGTCAGCCTCCTTTAATGAGAAACCTTTGTAAAGTGTGTACTGGAGCATTGAAAGAATATAATGTACACAAGGATTTGTTTCATACATACAAAGATACTTCAGTTAGTCAATTTGTTACTGTAACCACTTTAGTGAGTAAGAAAAGAAGAAACGGGTAATCCTCTCCATCTATGCCAAAAAGATATTTGCTAAAACTCAGCAATTATTACTGATAAAAAATTTGTTTAAAGAGATTAAAATTATGGTTACATGTTTAAGCATTACACTCGTTTTTATTGGTACCAGAGAAAGACTGAAAGTGCCCACTAATACTATTTGTATTTGACCTTGTTCTAGAACTACCAACCAATATGATTAGACAAGAGAAAGCGATAAGAATTTGGAAATCACAAAAGAGAAGTTATAAATGATTTTAACTGCAAATAATACAGTTGTATCCTTCTAAAACCCTAGAGAAAATACTAGAAACAGTAAGAGAGTTCATCAAGGTAACCGATCATGAAATTAATATTCAAAATCAATAGCTTTGCCATATATTTAGAGATATGAAATGGCAACCAAAATAATTGAAAATAGGAAGTTAAAAAATACTGTTGCTGGGTGGGGAGGGGTGAGCCTGGAGATTGTTGCTTACTTATTTCTGTAGTATTTGATTTTTTGCTGTATATACAGGTCACTTTGATTAGCAAAATCCTGGCCACTTTATAAAAAAATAGGAAACTTATCCTGAAAAAGTATACTAGAAAAAAATCAGTAGTTTTCTAGTTTGTAAATACTGTAGTAAGATCTGGAATATAAAAGTTACCATTTTTGATAGTGGAAAAGGGGGATTATATGTTTGGGAATAAACTTAAATATGCAAAGACCCATGTGAGGAAAACTCTTAAACTCCATTGAGGGCTTTAACAGAAACTGAATGAATATGACAGTACATTTTTGATAGGGAGACTCAGTATTACAAGTATATTAAAATGTGAAGTAGTCTCAGAATTTTCAGAATTTATTTTGCACCTTGAAATAACTTTACTATATCTGGAATAGTAAACTCTTGAGAATAGCCAAGAATACTGGGAAAAAAATATAGGATAGGTGCTATCCCACCAAAGAATAAAGCATATCATAAAGCTGCAGTCATTAAGACAAGTTACTGATACAAAATCAGAGTAGAGAATCTAGGCATAGGTGTAATGCATAGGAGAACATGGTGTGTGGCTAATGGTGAGGTTTCGAATTAGCGGGCGAGGGGATGGATTATTCAGTGATGATATAGAGACAGTGTACAGCCAGGCTTGGAGCTAGCTAGCTAGCTAGCTAGATGATAGATAATCTGTGTATATAAGACATGTACTTGGGTTACGGTCTCAGTTTTTACACTGAAATAAATTTCAGGTAGGTTGAAAACTTAAAACATAAGAATTAAGCCTATATAAGTATTAGAATACATGGAAGATCTTTCATTTTTAAAAATCATAGCATGAGGAAAGCTTTCTTGAAACATAAAGGCTAACTTAAGGTAAAAGATTCATAAATCTGACTAAGTAAAACCAAAAGTTCATAAATAAAATCACGAGACTAAAAGCAGTGTGGGAAGGAATTATCTTCACCACAAGACTGTGCAGGAGCTGATTTCAGTACTCTTCTCCATCAGTAAAAAGACAGCATACTCGAAGAGACACTGTACACGTGACTGAGGAAAAACAGTGGTGTGTTCATTTTCATTCATGCAAGATAACCTTTTAGATTGGTGAAAACTACAAAATGTGATATCACTTTGTGTTGGTGAGGGTGTAAGAAAACAAGTATTCTCCAAGACAGTGGAGAGGAGTATAAATTGGTTCAGAACTCACTTTGGAAGTATTTAACAAAATTAAAAGTATCTAACAAAATTGGACTGGGCAGTTCTTCTCCTAGAGATAATTCTACAGAAACTCATCTAAGTGAAGAGGTTATTTATTTCAGCATCATTAGTAAAAGCAACAAGGCAGCAGTAATCTAAAACCCATAGTTAGAGACCCATAGCAAAACAACAAGAAGTAGAAAAGTAAACTTGCATTTTTGCTTTAAAGGACTGTGTGTGTACGTATGCTTACATATGCATAGGACGCCTGTGTGAAGGCGTGTTAACAGCAGGTGCCTCGGGGGAGTAGAACAGAGATGTTCAGTAAATTGGTAAAGAAGAGACTTTGCTCTTCATTAAGTATTTCTTCATATTACATGTCATTTTTCTACCCTGTAATAAGTTATGACTTTTGGAGGGCTTTGTGGTAGTTTTTGTTTTGTTTTTTGTTCTTCTGGTTTTGGGGTGTTGAACCCAGGACCTTGCATGTGCGCAGCATGTGCTCTACCACTGAGCTGCACCCTTGGCCCCTGAAAAACAGAATTGCTTAAAATTCTAAGCCAGGAATATAAATTTTCATTTAGTAAATTGAACAAGTTACTGAATTCTGTGCCATAACCATCCCTGTGATCTTTTGAAAACCCTTTCACTTGCATCATGCTCATTAATAATATAAGACTAAAGGAAGTTACCCTGCTTACTTTAGAAAGTAGTAGTATTTGTTAAAGGTGTATGAAAGCATTTTGAAACCACAAACTAATATGGGAAGTAAAATATTCTAAGGCCAGAGATGAAAAGGATGTAAGGCCCACTTGAGCAGCATGGTCTTCTCCAGCCCAGCTCACACCTTTCACCTTTTTATAGAGTTGTTGTTTATCTTCTGCTTTACAGCTGTCAGTTGCGATTGGTATTTAATACAAAAAATAAATTGTTCCATGTATTAGTTTGTAAACTGTTCTACTAGACAGATTCAGTTGCTCCCAAATTTGTTTACAGTGCTATCAGATATTTACATCTTTTAATGGGACCACCAGAAAATTCAGCAGAGAAATCTTTCTACTGTACAAAAACTTGGTTTTTGGGGTTTTTTACCTGATGCTAGGTCTCCAAAGGCATCTCGTAGAAAAAAGGTGGCATCGACTTGGGCAAAAGAGAATGAGAAAGGAAATAATGTGCTAACAGCTTCAATAATTCCCAATTCTAATCTTTCTTATACAAAAGTATTTGAAATACTTACAGTGTGTTTATTTATTGTTTTTCACTTTATGGTACTTTTAAAATGCATATACTTGTTAGCACTATCTCATTTAAATTGGGAAGCTAACCAAATGATACTCATTTAAATGTACAGTGTGAAGTAGTAAATGTGAGTGCCTACTAAGTACTTCTAATTATATTGGTATTAGAGCTGGAACATAGTGCTAGTTAAGAGTCTAAACCTTCCTCTCTTTTTCCAGACAAATGTAGTAGGGCATTCTTTAGGGTGCACTTGGCATTCCTTGAGGAATTCTCCCGGGGAAAAGATCAACTTGCTGAAAAGAAGCCTCCTTAGTATTCCAAATACAGACTACATCCAGCTGCTTAGTGAAATCGCCAAGGAACAAGGCTTTAACATAACGTATTTGGATATAGGTATGACTTCTTTCCCCTTCGGCTTATTCCTGTGTTTCTTTTTTACAATGTGTTTGAGAAACAAAAATTTCTATTCTACTTTATTTCATTGATCAAGGATTCTACCTATGTATGATTGCTAGAGCAGTAATGTATGTATATATAATTGATATGTCTCGTTCTTGTGGGTAACGTACAGTTTTAATAATAAAATCAACAATAGCTAAAAGTTACAGTTTCACTATGCGCCTAAAAACATTACATGTATTAACTTACTAGGCCCTCACATTATCTCTGTGAGTCCTGTTGTCCTTACTTATAAGTGAAGAAAAGACACAGAAAGGTTGAGAAACTGGTCCAAGATCACACAGCTTGTCATTGTAGACCGGGATCCAGAAGGAGGCGCAGTGTGCTAGCTGTGTAGCCAGCCCCTTTGGGCAGCTTGGCAAATGAAAAGGCACTGCCGTTTCAGGTGTCAGCTGTGTGGGTGTGGGTGTGGGGGGTTTCTCCATTCTGGGCAGTAAATGGTGAAAGCCCAATTTACTGCTTTATCCCATCCTATATTTTCTGTGTTTCTCTAGTCTTTAGTCATTTATATGGGTAAATATAGACAGATGGGAAAATAAGTCAGTGTGGATTTTCTTTGAATTCACTTTATAAAGTTGGTTAAATATGTGTGTGCATGCACATAAATACATTTAATGTCTTGATTTAAATGCTGCACAATGTGTGCAGAATTTCCCATCCCTATTCCAACCTCATTCGGATGTGGGGAACCTACTTCATCGGAGTTACTGGCACTGGGACCATAGAGCATTTAGGGCAGGGATGGTGAACCTTCTAGAGCTTTCGATCATACAAAGAACCTGCTACAGCATGCGTGCCACAGGTTCCCCACCACTGGTTTAGGGGTTACACAGCATCTGCCTAGCAAGCTTGAGGTCCTGAGTTTGATTCCCAGTACCAAAAAAATCCCCAAACCTCCTAATACTCTCTGGATACTCTCTGCTACATTGGGATTGAATGATGGGTCGAAACAATATCTTGATGAACACAGAATGAAGAACCTTGGAAGGTATGCATATAGATGGTCAGGAAAGGTGGCTGATGAGAAACCATTTGTTCAGTAAATATTTGTCAGTGTCTGGCTTGTTAAGGGTTTGGGATGCACAGATGGATGAGCTGTAATAGGAAAAGAAGAAAACTTGAAGTGAATTCTTAGATTGTGAATTTAAAAACACTTCTTACCTGTCCTAAGAACTAACTAGTCTTCTAAATAGAGAACTAACTGTGGTGGCATATATATGCCTGTAGTCCCAGCCGTTGGGAGGCTGAGGCAGGAGGATTGCTGAGAGTTCGAGGCCAGCCTAGGCTAGATAATGAGTTCAAGTCCAGCCTGAGCTACATGGTGAGGCCCTGTCTCAAAACAAAAACAAAAACAAAGAAGGTAATAGAAAACTAGCTTTTGGCTAACTTCTATGCAACTGCAGTCAAAAAGCACATGACAAGATGCTCAACATCATTAGTCAGTAGAGAAATGTAACTCAGTGAGGTACCACTTCGTACCACTAGGATGGCTATACTCAAAATAGTGGAAAACAGTAGGTGTGAGGATGGGGAGAAACTACAGCCTCAAACTCTACTGGTTTGATGTAAAAGAGTTGAGTTGCCATTGAAAAAGCTTTTCAGCTCTTTGAATTAATTACCATTTGACGTACTAGCTTCATTCCTAGGTATACACCCAGAAGAATAGAAAAAATATTTAACAAATACCAGTATCTCACAGTGGCACTATTCACAAGAGCCGAAAGGTGGAAACTGCAGATTTCCATCAACAATGAGTGGACAAACAAATTGTGGTAGTCAGGGCTGGTGGCCATGCCTGTAATCCCAGCACTCTGGGAGGCTGAGCCAGGAGGATCACAAGTTTGAGTCCATTCTGGGCAACTTAATGACTTAGTGAGACCATATCTCAAAAAATTTAAAAAGAGGTGGAGACATAGCTCAGTGCAAAGACCCTGGGTTCACTCCCCAGTAACACACACATGCATGCACACAGGCACACATGCACACACACACACACATGATAGAGTATTCTTCAACCATAAAGGGAATAAAATTCTTACATATATAGTATTACTACAACTTAACATGGCTTGTGACATGTTAATTGACAGATGCCAGGCTCAAAAGACTACATATTAATATTATGATTCCACTTATGTGAAATATCCAGAAAAGGTCAATCAACAGAGACAGATCGCTAGTTGCAGGGGTGGGAGAAAAGGAAATGAAGAAGCCAGGCATGGTGGCACACGCCTGTAATCCTAGCATTCAGGAAGCTGAGGCAGAAAGATTGCTGTGAGTTCGAGGCCAGCCTGAACTACTTACTAGTAAGACCCTGTCTCAAAAAAAAAAGGCAATGAAGAGTAACTGCTTAATGCATAGAGGATGTTTTCTCAGGGTAATGGAGTGTTTTGGAGCTGGACAGAGGCCGTAGTCGTGCAACATTGTAAATGTGTTATATGAATTTTACTTCATTTGACAAAAAGAACCTAGATGCCAGGACTATAAAGCTTGTTCACTCATTAAATAATCCCGTTGTATCTGGATATTTTCTACTAACTTGACTCGCTAAGGTAATAATTAGGACCACTTCGAAAATGTCATAGTTCATACTTAAATTTTACTTCTTTGCCTTGAGTCATTTCACCATCTTCAGCAGAATGACTCATGTGTTGATGACAAGAATACTTGTTTCCCAGATTTACATTGTTTTTAAAACACCCTAACTCAAGACTCTCTGTGCAGACTCACAGCCTAAGAACACACAGGCACCATAAACCTGAACAAGGTTCTCTCCTATTTAAAAAGCCTACTCCCTGGTGGGATCCAGTAGCAAATAGTTCTTTCCCTTTTAAGAAAGTTGCTGCAGTTCAGTGATGTGCAAACGCTGTCCACCACGTCACATTACAGTAGCCTGGGGAGTTTCTCTCAAATTCAGGAAGCAGCCACCTCCAGCCCCAGCCCTTGTGTTTGCAGCTGAGGGAGGCCTAGATGGCTGCGTTGCTTTCGGGTCCCCTCAAGTGATTGTGAAGCTCAGTGTTTGGAACTGATACAGCTGAGCAGTGTGGCTGCCGTTTGTATTGGCATGATAAGGTGATGAGTGGGGAGAGTCGTGTATACCCTGATGCTGAAAGACAGTAATGAAAGTGATGGTTCTTACAAGGGCCTGCCTTATACACACTTGGCATTAACCGTCGTGTTTGCATGTGTCTTTACAGAAGAACTGAGTGCCAACGGGCAGTATCAGTGCCTCGCCGAACTGTCGACCAGTCCTATTACAGTCTGTCATGGCTCGGGGATCTCCTGCGGCAATGCGCAGAGTGACGCAGCCCACAATGCTCTGCAGTATTTGAAGATAATCGCAGAAAGGAAGTAAAGTTGGGGCACCTTAGAAAACCCTTCAGTAGCACTTCAGGCATTCTCCTCTCACTCCTTCCCGTGTAAAACTTTTACCGTAATGTTTGTGAGTTATTTCCAGATCTCTTCAGATTCATCAACACTCCAGATTCAGTTATCTCCTGGTAGTTGTTACTAAGCTCTTTTTAATGGCTTCAACTTTGTATTGGTATATTGTATTTATAAACTTTGTATCACGGGCATGGTGTAGCACCCATTTTACAGAGCTAGGCACATAAGAGGAAGGAACTGCATGTTTGGTGATAAGGATGTGAACAAAATAAAAGTACTGCTAGCAACGGTCTTACTGGTGCTTACACTCTTTTGCACAAGGCTTTGTAAAGGAAATTTGAAGGAAGCCCTTTAGGATTAGAGTATGGAGGGACGACTTTAGCCAGCTTTTATTGAAAGTGACCGTTAAATTTCAGGGAACGTGGTTGGCCTGCTGTGTATTCAAAATCATGTAATAAAGAGCTCTTGTTATAATGGGGATCAGTTCATTTTATTAAAGAGCTACTGACTTGACTGTAGCCCTTTCTTGAGAGTAACTTTCGTTATGGTTCGCATCTGGAATGTTCTCAGAGGTGTACGTGTTGAAGGCTTAATCCCCAGTGCAGCAATATCTAGAGGTAGGGCTTTTGGGGGGCGGTGACTGAATCACACGGGCTCTGACCTTACTGATGGATGTATCTGTTGAGGGGCTTGTAATCTAATGGGATATTGGCAGATGACAGGAACTTTATAAGGAAGACCTAGTTGGAAGAAGTAGGCCAGGGAGTGTGGCCTTGAAGGGTGTATCCTCTCCCTGGGTGTGTGTGTGTGTGTGTGTGTGTGTCCCTCCCTGTCTCACACACACACAACCAGGGAGAAGATATACCCTTCAAGGCCACACTCCCTGGCCTACTTCTTCCTCAGCTACAAAGTGCCAATTATAAAGAAGATACACTGGGGGAAGATTTTATAAAGCAGTGGAAAAAGAGGATGTGCTCAAACCATGGAAAAAATACAGTTTTGTTGCAAGTAGTTGAAATGTATTGTAAATTGATAAGCTGTGAAGATAAGGTACCCAGAAACCAAGCTTTTCTAGCTGCCTCTGCTTTCCCTGCTTCTAGCTCAGAAAATGTGCGTTCTTAGACACTGTTCAAATGTCACCTCGTTAGACTGGGTTTTCCAGGGTCATCACGTATTCTGTAATGCCATTTCATTAACCCCTCCATTAAGGCTCTTACATAATTAAGCAGATTAGTTTCCTGAGCAGACAGCTATTCCATAGTCAACCTGATGGCATCGGTCCTAACACATGAGAGGCCTCCAGGAAGAGATAGATAAATGAGCTAGTCAGATGAAGATAGCAGTAGCCAAGTATGTTGATAATACTAATACAATAAATTATTGAGCACTAATGTACCGGGCAGTATAATAGTATTTAGGGATACAGTGTTGATCCAGCTTACATTATTTAATGAAGAAGCACTCTCCTGCTGTCAGAGAGGCCTGAGATATGCCGCTTAGATTCCTCTTTGGTGCAGGGGTCTGGTTCCCTTGTTCTGGGAGTGCTGCCTGTCAATTACCCTCCTAGTCGCCTTAACTGGACAGATCCCCCTCCAAGTCTTACTTCCTTTCTGGGGCAGCCTGCAGTCAGCAAATAGTCCTAGCCAAAGGCATATGGGACAATCTGAAAGCCCATCGTAGCTTTAGAGTTCCCCAGTGGGGCAGCTGAGACTGCCTTTGAGACGGCATCATAGTCATAGTCTCCCTCTGCCCAGGGCACTTTCTTTCCACACTGGCAATCCCTAGCCTCCACTAATTCCTATCTCAGAGTCGGCTTCCCAGGGAGCTCAGCCTGTGATACGTGGTCCCAAAAGTGCAAGAAAGCGGATCTCCGGGGGGCTTTTGTACTTCATTCTCTTGCCATCTAGTTTATAGCACAAGGCTCTTGCTGTCTGCTTGTTGGTAGAGCACATGACCCCTAACACAGTGTGACAGTAATCCACTGGCAGAGCAACATGTAATGCGCCAGTGAGCAGGGTCTCGGGAATTCAGTTCAGTGGTACTTCTGCTTTGTAGGCCAGGAATGCAGGTAGGAGGTGCCATTACAGATCTGCGAACACTGATGGCAGTGCGCAGAGTGGGTCCCCTAAACAACAAGAGAGTATTTGGCTTTGGGATTTGTCAGAAGCCAGGTGGATGCAACTATGACCAGTGGAAAGTCCAGCATCCCAGCCATAAAGATAAGGCAAGAGTCAATTGAACTGACAAAATGGAGCGTCAGTCCACAGGGGCACTGCTCAGCTTGTACACTTGCAATAAGATGGATCATCGGGAGTCCAGGGGTAATCACTCCCCAAAATGGTCATGATCCCAGTTCCCAGACCTAAGCCAGTTGTTGGACTCAGAACCATTAACTGAAGAAGGAAGTAGGATCACAGGCAGAAGGATTTCACAGCACCACAAGTGCGTACAAAAACGACCCCCAGTTCTCCAGAGGGACCCTTAGCCATTCCCCAGAGGCTGCAGTTTATATCGAGATGTACCCGCAGAGCCTCACTGCTCGCAGGCTGGGCTTTCCCCGGTGCCTGGATTACGGGGGCTGAAAGCCGAATCACTGCTAGGAGGAGGTGGAGCCTAGTCAGAAGAGCGGGGTCCCGGGGAGCACGGCCGGCTTCACTGTGCTTCCTGGCCATGAAGTGAGCATCTCATCCCCCTCCGGGCCCTGTGTCATGCCTTCCCGCCTTGGAGCCAGCCCACCAACCACAGGGATGGGAGCCTCAACCAAAATAAACCTCTCTTTAAGTTGTAGGTGTTGAGGAGAAAAGTGATTACGACATCAGGTAATCATAGATTGGTGGAAGAAGAATCCTCAGCATTTTTATGTCTGTTTTACACAGGGTTTGAGTTAATAATGAGTACAATGAGGGCTTTGGAGAGACCAAGTAATACCACGTGTCTTGGCCCAAAACCAGTTCCCAGTGTGTCCACAGGCCCGCTCATGCTGGAGTTACAATTGCACTTGGTTGTTGCACAGCCCACACATTGGTTCGCTGTCTGTGAGGTCAGCTATACCATTGTAAAAGGCCGAGAGGGAGCTTTAGAAACTTGCTCCTCCATACAAGGTACAGAGCCATAATACTGAAATCCGGGGAGTGGCAGTGATTAATGCTAAAGGATTCCGGGTGACGGTCCACACCATGTATTTAATTATAGACTAGACCAGTGATGGTGAACCTATGGCATGCACGCCACAGTCAACTGTTTTACAAGGTTCCCCCCACTGGCCTAGACCCTATATCCAAGGCCACATTCCTTTTGTTTGTATGTTTTATTTTTTTTGAGGTCTCACTGTGTAGTTCAGGCTGGTCTTGAACTCAGTTTAGGCCAGGCTGGCCTTGAACTCATGGTAATCCTCCTGCCTCAGCCTCTCCAGTGCTAAGAATATAGGTGTGTATGACCAGGCCCAGCTAATATTCCCTTTTCGGATGAGGGCAGGACTGCATGCAATGCAAAGTCCTGACACTACACCTCCAGTTTGAGACAATTCAGAAGAGTCCATCAGCTTCGGGGTTGTCTATGGCGTCCACTGAGAATTTTGTTGATGCTATTGCAACCCAGCTCTCCCCCTGCCTAATCTCAGTTTCTCTCCATTCTTTTCAGAGATGGTGATCCCAAAGCATCCCCTAGTACTTGCCACTCACTGTCACTTCCCCAGCATCTGCTCCCTGGGAGCCCAGCCTGAGCTATGGAGTTCTAATTCAGTGAGAAAAGATAATGGAAAAATCCTATCAGTTGCATCATTTATAGATCATAGAAAGTTACAACTCAGATAAGCTGGGTTCTGTTTAGATTTTGTCTTTTGCCCTTTATTAAAATTCCTAAAGAAAAGAAAGCTATGTTTGTGAATAGTTCTTTTTCTGCAGGTCTCTGTAGGTGATGTGCTTCATTGTGTGTATTTGTATGTACTTATTTGCATTGGGAAAGATTCCTTGAGACATTACCTAAAGGCTATACAGGGAATAAAGTAAGAGAGCAAGGCCACTGTGAGTCATGCTGAATTTAAAATAATGCTGCGCCTCAAGGTCCAAAGTAGAAGTTAACAACTATGAAGAGCATAACTTGTGAGTTCTAAAGAGAACAGGCAACAGTTCAAGATGAGCCTGGGCTGTACAATGAGTTCAAGCCCAGCGTGGACTACATAGCGAGACCTGGTCTCTAAAATAAAAATAAAATATAGTAAAATAAAATAAAAATGGAATTAAGCAACATTTCTTAACTGAAACAGTGACTTTATGCATTAAAGGATGGCTGTAAAAATCTGAAAAATCATAAACTTGAGGGAATTGTGGATGTGGTCTACACTGAAGATTCCACCAGCTTGACACCATATTGCAAATTATAGTTTGCAGGTTATGATGGCTTTCTGCCACACACACACAAAGGCTGATATCAACCAAAGAAAAGCTTGGGCTTTTTGGAAGATAACAAGACAAGACTTGCGTGACTTGTATTTCATTTATCATTTTCTGGTTTCTTCATTTCCCTTTGTAATTCTCTGGTTAAGACACATCAGAAGAGCCAGCGACAGAGAGCAATGGTGAATGAAGATCTGACAGCTGTTCATCAATCTGAACAGCAGAGAGGGGGAGTAGATGAAATGGGATATATGTTTCTTTGCTTGCCTGTTGAGGCTGGGACAAGAGTGGGGAATAGTGGAAACCTGAACAAGCTAGTCTTTCTTCGTGTGCTCATCTTAGTGGGTAGATTTCAGCTGCCACAGATCCATAGCACTTTGTGCTAGAAGACATAGCTAAGGCTTGGGAAAGATTTACACATATCTTGGGGGAAAAGACAAAAGATACAAGTAAAGGCAAACGGTCTTCAAGTATGGGGGCTAGGCTAGGACTGAAAGATATCTCCAAGTCACAATTTTTAAAATAACAACAATCAAGGCTCATTTACATGGTAAATTCGGTTTTATATGGTAGAATAAGTGCTGGATTTCGTTATGAATACTTGCATTTTTATTTATGCCTTCATTCTAGTGCAATCTCTTTTATGGCCAGATGGGTGTGTAACTGCACAGTTATGGATTTGAAATTCAGAAATGGATAACACCTATGCATGGTTGCTCACATTTTCTTATTCATTTTGTCTTATGTATCTAATTAAGAAGGATAGGTTTTAAAGGTAAGATTTCTAAATAGAAACCTTTGAAGTGAGGCCCCTGGACCAAGAATGCAAATATTTGTAGGCCTGGCTGGCGAGGACGCCTCAGTTTTTTGTTTGTTTAGTGTATGTTTGTGATGCATAATACTATTTCATCATAAGGAATTGATACATATTCACATCCTTTCTACTTCCACTTCCCTTCCCCATCCCTAGACCTCCTTCCTGGGAGCCTGAGAAGTTTCACATAGGTTTTTGGCCTGGAGCCAGACTCCTCACTAATGCCAACAAAAAACATCTTCATTTGTAATCTTACAAAAGCTTATGACAATGGCACACCGTGCTGGGGCACCCTATGGGTACAATCACTGAAGCTGAAGTGATCAGCTGATCAGTGAAGATCACTGAAGCTTCACTCTGAGTGGGCAGAATTGGGAAAGTATGTTTTTAGACATGTGGGCCAAGGGGTGAATACACACAAAGCTAAGGACCGAATAGGTAGGGTGATCTCGGAACAGAGTGTCTGCATCATATGCAGTGGGTGTGCTCCTCAAGGCTCTCGACAGTGGGTGGTGGTTATTTCAGTTTACCAGCCAACCAATGCTGCCATGGTTGCAATTTGCTAAGCCTGCCTGCTTTGGAATTATGAAATTCGTCACGTGTGCTTCTCAGTTTTCTGAGCTTCTGCACTATGTCAAACACTGTGTGTCTATGACATTGCGCTATTTAAAATTTACATAATCCTGATTTGCCTAAAATGTGACCATGTTCTACACTGAACTAATGGCTGCTGAATATGCTGCCTCACAGGCAGAAGCGGTGGTTGTTAAATAATGAGACCTTAAACTGTGTAATCATGGTTCATCTCTGTCATGGAGGCACTTGTTAGAAATCTATAGCTTGTGTAGTGTTAGGGTAAAAGCAAGAACTTGAAATCCCTTAAGAGTGGGTCTCTTCAGTACAACCTTATTGTATACATTGAAAGCCACAAAAAGTACTTTTTGTGAAGCTAGAAAGAGTTCTAGGTTGGGAGCTAGGAAATCTGACTGCTAGGTCTGCCAAAAATGATTAGTCATAGTTACAGTGTTGAGGAGAGGAATGAGGATAATAATAATACCATTTATCAAACACTAAGTGTTATATACTTTAACATGTATGTAGTCCTTATAGAAATTCTGTATATAGATAGTAGTATTTACTTTTTATGAATGAAAAACATGACATTTAAGGGGGTTAAGAATTAATGCCTACTAAGTGCTCAAAGACTGTGCTGATGCAAAGCCCGTGTTATTTTCACCAGTCTACCTGATCAGCCAAGATACTTTATCCCTCTGTGTTCTGTTATGGGATAATGTTCAAAAAGAGGAGTCTTAACTCAGGCAAACATAAGGTGACCAAGTCATATATTTCATTCCACTCATTAAACAATAAACTAAATAATAGCCAGGAAGATGCCACACCATGTCCAGTTCAAAGAGTGTTTGCGGAACTAGGGTATTTATAAAAGAATGAGATTGCTGGATGAGATGCAGAACTGAAATAAGTTTAGGGTTATTTTCCTCACTATACACAATTTGCTGTTTATCAGAAAGAAGTCTACAAGTCAACATACATCATTACAAAGTCTAGAACCTGTAATCAGGAATAAACACCTGGAGCGGGGGTGTAGCTCAGTAGTAGAGCACTTGTTTAACACGCAAAACCCTGGGTTTAATTCCAGCAGGGGAATGAGGAGGGAGAGAGAGAGATAGGTATCACCACCCTGGATAATCTTAAGGTGGCCTTCACTCCCTTACATGATTGAAACTACCTGTCACCCACATTTTTGTCATGTTTCTAGGTATTTAGACAATTTATCTTCCCCATGTCTATTTCCTTATTCAGAAAATAAGGTAAATTCATTTATAATTCCTTGGAGCCTGTCATCAGACCTACATGGTCATTCTAAAGGGAACCTTTATTAGCTACAGAGGGGATCCACACAGCACAGCATTTGAGGATCAGCCCCTGGGCTGGAATACTAAAAATATTACTAGAACTTTTCGACACTTACATGATTACCCTGAACTTGAATGATACTAAAATAAAATTTCACTATATTTTTTTGGTTTGTGGTGCCTGAGATTGAACCCAGGGCCTCATGCGTGCTAGGCAAGTGCTCTATCACTGAGGTACACCCCCAGTCCTGAGAGAAATTTTATACTGCTAATAATGGCTGTCAGGTGTTTCCTTGGGTTCCGTTACTGTGCCAAATTTACATGGATTATATCAGTGAAAACCTCAGTCCTCTGGTACTGATGACCCCATTTTACAGCTTTGTAAATGAGGCTTGAATAAAGAGGTAAAAATACCTGTTTGGAGCCAGCTATCTGGGAGGTCCTGACCTCCTGACTCTGAGTCTAGTAGCGTTCTTTCCAGGACACCAGAAGGACTGGTTACTCTGAGTCATGTCTTAGCATCCTCCATTCCAATGCTCTTCACATCACATGGCCTCTTCCAGTCCCAGTTTTCTCACCAGTAAGATGAGCGTAAGTGGCTCTGCCTTCCTCTCAACTTACCAGGAAGATGAAATGAGACTGAGTGAGCAGGAGCTTTGCAAACCTGGAAGGTGCGCAAATGTAAGACAGACTCCTCACAAAATTAGGAAACTGGAGTGCCTCATTTGAATATTATCCCTCTATAGCATTTCAGCTGAGTCTTGAGAGACCAGCTTAAGAGATCAGCAGAGTAAACAGCAAAGGTTTGGCTCAAAGACATAATCCCGAGGCCATTTATGACAGTCTCTGAATCTCTGCAGCTTGTCCTGTGCTGTCTCATGATGGCCTGTGGTCTTTCATCATGAATGATGCTGAGATCCTTTGCTATTCTATTAGCGCTGTCTGAAAAAAATTACAACGTAAACCACATATGCGTAACATGACATACACGACTTCAAATTTCCTAATAGCACTGTACTAAAAAAACGATGAATTTATTTCATTATCCCTCAGTTTTTTTTTTTTTTTTTTTGTCTTTTTGAGACAGGGTCTCACTATGCAGTTCAGGCTGGCTTTGAGCTCACTTTTTAGCTCAGGGTGGTCTCGAACTTGCAATGATCCTCCTGCTTCAGCCTCCTGAGTGCTGGGATTACAGACGTGTGCTACCATGCCCACCTTTCAAATATTTTCTTTTCAACATGTATCCAATGGACAAATTACCAATTCACATTATCTTTTACATTAGCTAAGTCATGGAAGCCTAGCCTGTATTTCCCATGCATGATACCTGTGTGTCCTAAGCACATTTCAGGTGTGCAAGAGCCACATGGGGCATGTCGCTGCTGCGTCAAAAGCCAGGGTTCGGCTCTCGGCCTCACAGGTTGGGTTCCTCAAGGCAGGGGCCTTTTATTTAGCCTTCATGGACTTCCCAAAGAGTCTGTGCTTCTTGAGACTTTTCCCATGTTCTTTGGAGCTCAGCTTAGCCTTCACTGCAGATAATTTCCTCTATTATTAAAAGGAGACAGACTCTTAGATTTACTCCTTCTACCACAGATTGAAAGAAAGATATATACATATCTATCTGTGCATAAGATACTTCTTAAAGTGATCAGGTGCTGGAACATTCTGGTCAGTGACGGTGGTGCCATAAGATTATAAAGGAGCTGAAAAATGCCTGGCACCTAGTGACCTAGACATCATAAGTTTGTAGCAAGAAACATTACTTACATGTTTACAGTGTTTCTGGTGCAAAAAAAAAAAACAACAAAAAACCCAACCTGCGCTGACAGTCGTAAATATCCATAGCACTGACAGTTACGTGCAGCCCATAACACTTGATAATAAACAGTTATGTTACTGGTCCATGCATCTACCCTATTGTACCTTTTTCAACAGAGTGTGCTCTTTTACTTTTTAAGAAAAAGTTTCAGGAAAAAAAAAATCAAGACATATGCAGGTAAAAATTCCCTATGATGAATGTGATCATTATGTATATCAAAAGGGTGCCGATAAAATTCATTAAAAGCAAAAAAGAAAAAGTTTCCTGGAAAATGGTATTCAGGTTGCGTCAGCGGAAGCCTCAGATGCCTCGAGTTCATGCCGCTGAGCAGTTGCAGAAAGAGGCCACGTGGCTGACGCACCGGTACCGCCCAGGTTCCCCAAGCCCTCGCTGTGAGGTTCGCACAGTGAGGACGCTTTCCACAGACCGTGTCAGGACTTCAGCAGCGCCTGCAAGGGGACTCAGAGAACAAGGTAAAGCAGTGTTTTCCAAAATGTGTTCTGCTGAGCTGGCCCTACAGGAACTTGACACTCAGTATATTCACCCTTACATTTTCACCTTCCCTACTGTACAGATCTAACCTTATTCCTTTTGAGTATTTATTGTGTCATCTCTTCCCACATGTCAAGCTTCTAGAACAACCATGCACAGGAGGGCCTCATTCTTTTTTTTTTTTTTTGAGATAGGGTCTCGCTATGTAGTACAGGCTGGCCTCGAACTCTGTAGCCCAGGCTGGCCTCAAACTCAGGGAGATCCTCCTGCCTCAGCCTCCTGAGTGCTGGGATTACAGGTGTGCACCATCACGCAGGCCGGTTCTTATTCCTTATTTTTACCTTAGAATTGGTTATAACTAGTAACTGGCAATTGCCTTTAACAGTAGGAACTTCCGCCCGTTGGTCGCTAGAGGGAGACACACAAGCACTTGGGTCCAGCAGGCACTGCCCGCCCAGCCACGCCAGTCAGTGGTGCAAGATTGTGACTGCATCCACTTCCCGTTATGGCCCTCAGCCCAGGGTGGAATCATTGCAGAGCAGCTCGCCCAAGGCTGATCAAGCCACGCTCTCGCTGAAGAACCTCTGAATTTAGCATGAACCTCGACAGAACGAAACTCCCGGAGGCTGGCCCCATGCTACCTTCGAAGAAGTAATGTTTGGCCCTTAGCGTGTAATTCTAGGACCTGTGACTGTAACTGCTTTGTGTACGCATCAGGTAATCCTACATCAATTTACTCTGGTAATGAAAGGTAATTAGGTCAATCCGAACTGCCCCGAGGGGTTTTTGATCAAAGACTGAATTTTTTTCCATTGAAATGAGGTCAGTGTTTAATTTTGCAAGTTAAATAATCATGAAGTTAAATAATCTTGAAAGGAGCCTGAGGTAGATGAAGTAAAATTACCTTTGCCTACCCAGAAACAGAAACAACCTGTTTATATTTACTAGCTTGACCACCCAGTTTAAAGCGATTCCTACCTTTCTGTGCAAAGAACCTTCCTTACTGAGGGACTGATACCGGCCCTTCTGTACAGTATGCCGGTCAGTTGCTATGGGACAATATCAGTCCTTACACCGAGTTACTGTACTGATGTGTTTACCTGTTCCACAAAGAAGCTATCTTCTCCGGGAATTTCTCCTATGAAAACTAAAAGTCAAGCTCGGGCTCGTTTCAATGCTGTCTTTTGTGCCCGAAAATGCTCGGCTCCTCTACCTGCTTCAACAAACGATTGGGACAGATTGCTTCAGGGTGCAGTGCTCAGGGTGACCAGGGCTGCCCAGAGAGGGGGCTCCCACGAGGGGAGTCCGCGGACTCCCAAGAGGCCCTTGAAGGGAGAGGGTCAGATGAGGCAAACAGGGGACCCGCTGCAGCCGTCCCCTCCAGCACCGGCCTCAGGAGCGGACTGGGGCTTCGGTGGGAGCGGGCGGGGCGGGGCAGGGCATGGGGCCGGCCCGGGGCAACTGATGCGCAGCTGATCGGCTGCTTTGAAAGGAAATGCTCACTCTGTGTCGAGCGGGGATGAGGGAAGGGCTGGAGAAGTGACTGCAAGGTTTAGAAACCGATGGATCTTAATAAGCAGGGGAAACAACCAGAAGATTAGAAATATTTAGTAAACTCTATCCAAACAAGACAGAACTCCATTAATCCAGCGGAAGTCAGGAGAGGGAGAAAATGACTTTGTAAATGTGTATTGGGTCAAGAAATAAGTCCTAAGAGTTATTTTATTTATTCTTGCAGTGACATCAAACACTCCTGAGTGCCGGCATTGTTTACCCACTGAGCTACATCCCCCGCCCCTAACAGCTATTTTAAAAATTAAACGGCCAAAGCTCACAGATTAAGACAAGTTATCTGATTCAGTTTAAAAAGGTCTAGCAATGTGTATCTGTGTACAAAAGTCACTTTTAAATATAAAATTGTAAAAGATAGGAAATAATATAGGAAAAGATACATCTGATATTATGAACCATAACAAACTGAGAGAATATTTCTTAAATTTTTTTTTTTTGAGACAGAGTCTTGCTATGTAGTTCAGGTTGCCCTTGAATTCACTATGTAGCCCAAGCTGGCCTCAAACTCTCAGTGATCCTTCTGCCTCAGCCTCCCAAGCGCTGGGATTACAAGCATGTGCCACACACCTGGCAAGTAGTTTTAATTACAACATTTACTTCATGGTTAAAAAGCATCAGAAAAGACAAAGAGAAGCCTAGTAAACAGGTAAAAAGAATAACTGACAAGAATAAATAATCATGGAATGTATGTATGTAACAAAAAGCAACAACTGACAAGACAGTGGAAAGAACAGATTAATACTATTTGTAGATTTAATGCCAATTCATGGAACCTCATCAAAGGGAAAAAGCAACTCATAATAATATTAATAATTAACCACAATTAATGAATCAAAACTAATAGACACATATGGTACTTTAAAACCAAAAGAGAATATACATTCTAATTATACGTGGAATATTCACAAAAAATGTCTATGACCTTGGTCACAAGGAGAACCTCAGTAAATTCCAAAGAATCAACCTCATGCAAATTATTCTTTCTGACCATAATGAAATAAAACTAAAAATTGGTAGCATGAGATCTAAATCCTATTAAGTCTGGAAACTGACTAAATAAATTCTTGGGTAAAAGATACAATTATAAGAAAAGTTCTAAGAGAGGTGAATGACAGGAAAAATATATATATGAAAATTTGTGCCATACCAGTACTACCTACAGGGAAATGTATAACCTTGAGCGTATTTCATGGAAAACACAGGAGAAATAAGCTAAAGAACAAGCAGTTACAAAGTGCTTACAAATGTAGCAAAGGACATAAAGAGGGAAATAAACATAAGGGGGAAAAGCACAAGAGCAAATAATTACAGAACAGGAAATATGGGAAATTATTAATGAAACAAAAGATAATTCTGCCAGAGAAACATCTGGTAGAATTTGTAAAGAAAAAACAAGAAATAAACCAACCCAGGCAGAGATGTAAAGAAGCAAAATGCAAAAAAGAGAAAAATAGTTCCATAAACTAATATTTTTCATGACAGTGCAGTTTAAAAATCTAGATAAACTTAAAATCTAGATGAACTGGACAAATATTCCAAACGTATGACCCTCCCCTAAACTCCAGAAATCTCAGTGACTAATCACCTCACCACGTAGACTAATCCCCAGTATTCTGAACTGGGAATGTAAACCTCCAGCAAAGGAGAGAAAGAGAAAGGAAAAGAAAGAAAGAAAGAAAAAAAGCAGACCTGAATTTTTTGGAACTGGGAATTAAAGTCAGGACCTCCCACTTCCCAGGCAGGCGCCATGCTGCTGAGCTATATCCCAGCCCTTAGGCCTCACAATTTTTAAAGATCAGTTCAGCTAAATTTTCAAAGAACAGATATGAGTTGCTTCAGCAAATAAATGAAAGTTATTCCATTACCATTTTGTGGCTATGTAAAGTTGAAACCCAAACCAGATAGGGGAAGATGCAATAAGAAAAGAGAACTTAGGTAATTTCCCTCACTAACTCAGTGAGTCTAAAGATTTTTGACAAAGGTCAATTATGTTATTGTTTCATTTTAGCAGAAATTTTTCAAACATGTATTACAACCATGCGGACCCTATGCCAAACACTCGATGAAGACACATAGTCAGCCTTATTTTCCTCTGCATCTATATGACCTTCAACAGTTCCTGACATCTTGTGACTACTCTATAAATATTGGTAGAATGGAAAAGCAAATTTCCAAAGCCCTGTTTTATGTTTAGCATAAATTTAGTCAATAATCTTTAAACCTCTCTGCCATAGGCAGAATCATGGCCCCTCAAAGATGGCCATGGCATAATGCCTAGAACCTATAAATATATTAGATTGCATGGTTAATGGGGGTTAGGGTTGCAGATGGAGTAAAGGCTGCTAGTTAGCTGACTTTAGAAACCAAAGATTTCCCTAGATTATTCAAATGGGCCCAATGGAATCACAGGTGTCCTTAAAAGTGCAGGAGGGAAGCAAGGGAGAGAGAGAACCACAGAGACAGCAACACAAAAGGGACTGAGTTTAACCTTGCTCCTTCAAGGGGAGGAAGGGGCCCTTGACCAAGGAGAGTGGATCAGCACCTCCAGAACAGGGGCAGTTTCCCCCAGAGGTTGCAGGAAGGCACACACCTTGTTAATTAATACCGTGATCCTGCGCCAGTGAGATCTGTGTTGATTTCTGACCTACAGAGCTATTCCATAATTTGTGTTGTTTTAAGTCACTGATTTATTTTAGCAGCAATCAAAATGAATACTTTCCTAATTGCCATCATTTATTAACATTGTAGAGTCTGTTGTTTTGGGGACAAATTCTTGGCGAGATGCCTGGGCTGGCTTTGAATTTTTGATCTTACTGGGTCAAACTCTGGGAGCTAGGGTTACAGGCAGGCCCTAGCACAACAAAAAATTTTGTTTTGGTTTTGGTGGGACAGAGGATCAATCTAGAGCCTGGAGCATACTAAACAAACAATTTCCTACTGAAGTCAGCGTGGTTCTTTTATGTTTATTGGTGGTACTGGGGATTTAGCATTGAACCCAGAGCCTTAGCACTGAGCTATATCCCCAGTCCTCTTCAGTTTTTATTTTGAGGTAAGGTCTTAGTAAATTACCCAGGCAGGACTAAAATTTGCAGTTCTCCTGCCTCAGCCTTCCGGAATACTGGCATTATAAGCATGTACTATCATGCCTGACATCAAGGTATTCTTTTATATGTATGATTTCCTTTTTTTAACAATATTCATACATATCATTTTAGAATTCCACTTTCCCCACTGCATCATTTCTAATGTTTTTTAAAAATTATTTTTTATTCTCTTTAATGGTTTGATCAATCTTGCATTCTTACATCTAGTAATCTGAGCAACTTCATTGAACACAACAATATGTAATGTAACAGCCACTGTTAATTCCTATCATTTTGTTTTGAAACCTTGTATTATTTTTATTGTTTTTGCTTTGTTTTGTTTTTGTCTATGTTGCTGTTATTTTATTATTGCTTTTTAATTCTCTTTATAATAAAATGTGGTTTTTTTGCCTGTGATTTTGAGCAAGTTATTTAATTGTTTTGAGAATATGGTTTCTGGAACTCGAGGTGAATACATTGTTTGTGTGATGTGCTATATATTCTGTATATGTTTGTGTGTTGTTGAAGTATTAGTGACCATGTTTTAAAGCACTGGGAAAAGAGGTTTTCAACTAATCATTAATGTGTAGCTAGTGAGTCCTTCTAACTGGGGAGTGTGTAGCAAGCCCTAACATCTGTACCAGACAAGGTCTTATGAGGTCCCCAAAGCAGGATGAGGAACCTAAACCACCATGGAATAGGCTGCAGGTTCACGGACACCCATTGTGGAGAAAAGAATTTTCAGGACATATCAGTAAGAAACAGGATAGGATTTATTAGGCAAAAATGTAAAAGTACTCCAAGAAAGAGAGCTTGAGCCCTGGTGAGTCAGAGAAGTGAATTGTGATCTGGATCTGGGTATATTGACAGGATTTGAGGGTATCTTCAAGATGGGTGATCTAGGATTGTTACAGCAAAACAGACCAAATGCAGGAAGACAGAACACCAAGGAGATCCAGGAGATAGCAATTTTATTATACTGATGGCCTTGATTGGGATTGTGCCCAAAGAGTCAGAGCCTTGACCGGTGGGGTTTGGGGGCTTTTAAGGGGAGAGCAAGTGAGAGGTACAGCAGCAGATCTGGCACATTATGATTGGAGAGTTGAGTGACATCATGGGTTGCCAAGGGAGTTTAATATCTCAGGTTACATTGCAAGGACTTCATCAGTCTTCAGTTACATCACAGGGCCATCAGTTACACAAAGACAATAAAGACACGGGTTACAAAGGAAGAAGTGTTCTGTTATCAGGCTTGCCCAGGCATGTCCACTTGGTTTTGGCAGGCATTCTTGGTAGGCCTTTATTTAAAATTTCAATTCGCCTTCAGGATGTATATCTCTGCTGTGTGTCTGGTTACCACCTGGCAGGCTCTGTGTTCATGCAAACCATTACACATGTTTGAGGGTGAGATGTTGGCTGCCAACAGTGTGGCTTTGTTGTGGGTAGAGGTCTGTGGGAGGGAGGCCAATTTGCGGGTGGAAGGACTGGCAACAGGCCTGCTTTACCTTTAAGAACTTATAACTGTTCTTTTTTCAAATGAGTTTCCTGGAAGGGAAAAAGGCTTGAATAACTTTTGCATCCTGAAACTGCAGTCTTTGTCAAAAGTACAATTTTAAAATTCTAAATTTTCCTTGTCTCCTTTCCACTGATCTTTATGTCTTCTATACTACCTCCAAATGGCTGTGCAGGAATTTCCTAATTTTAATTTTTGAATTATCTACCCAAGAATTATAGCTTGTGTGACTTCTTGACCAGAGTCTAGATGTTATTCCTTTTTTTGTTTGTTACTTTGCAGTGCTGGAGATTGAACCCAAGGCTGCACATGCAGCAGACAAATACTGTTTGACTGAACTACCTCCCCAGCCCTATAGTTGCTTAATCTTTTTTTTTCTTATATACTGAAAGGGAAAAACTGTACAAGGAAAAATTGTTCTTTTTAAAACTTGTTCTCTTTGAAGCTGCCTAGCTCTGTAACTGTTTCATGGCTCTGTAATTGCTTTCTTGATCCCTGCAACTACAAGAGCATAACCGAACATTCAGGATACCTGATTGTACCAAGCTTTGTGGTTATTAATCTAGCCCTGTAACCAATGATTTCACCCTGCTAGCTAATCAGAAGAACTGCCAGGCTGTTCTGT